CATCTGTGAGGTTTCAGTATGCAGCTATCCTCACTCAACACGTCTAGGTGTCTCGCAATCTCCAATGCAAATAACCTGTGAGGTTCAATATGTGTCTATCCTCACTCAACGCGTCCATGTGTCCGGCACTCCAACATCACTCAACCCGTGGGGTTCCAGCAGCTATCCCCACGCAACCCGTCTATGTGTCTGGCAATCTCAAACCTCCCCTTTCCGTGGGGTTTCAGTATACAGCTATAATCACTCAACACGTCTATGTGTCCGGCAATCTCCTACATCACTCAACCTGTGAGGTTTCCGTAAGCAATCCTCACTCCACGCATCCATGCGTCACGCGTCTTTGGTAGCGCATACTACGGGGGCTATATTTGGGGTGGCGTGTTTTACAGCGCTTTGCCAACAGCTCCAACCCACTGAAGTCTAGATTGTGGGGGCTAAGGGGAGGGGGGGGGTGATATTTGGCGCCATGTACCGAGCATGACTGTGTATGCATAGATACAGCACCGCTTGCATGTACAGCAGATAGCAGGGCACACCACAGACAGCGAGGGCAGCGTTGAGAAGCAATATAGCCAAGGACAGCATCAAGACGACACGGCAGGGCGTTGACTTCATTTTTAAAGTACAGCGCGTTGAGTACAGCAGTCTACAGTTCATGTTGTACTCTAGAGCAGTAGTGGATCATTAATGTTGGATCATTGTGCAGCAGCTGTACACTGCTGTGCTCTACAGGAAACACCCGTACATCAAGGTAGCACCTGCAACAATGGGTGACAGCAAGCAGCTTTACCAGGACGAGTGCAACACCAGCAACCAGGTTATCTCTCGTCGGGGATCGCCGATGCTGCAGGGTCCTGCAGGTGGCCGGCGGCATCGCCACCATCCTCATCCCATACGTTGTGGCCGCTTCCACTAGACAAACCAGGTTGCTGCGACGACGCTCCACCATCACCAGTAGATGTGAATTCAAAACCTGATCACGCCTGTCTGTTGGCCCTTTCGTTGGCTACTCGCCGTCGCTTGTTGGTCGGGCTGTCAGGCCCGGGAGGGAGCGATCCAGCTCGGCTTTTGCTCCCTTTCCGTCTCCCCTTCCCACGCGCAGACATCTCGCATCTCCTGTCACTCTTCACACCACGGGCACGGTCTCTCCGCTATGTGTTCTCTCTCTGTGTACGCTCTGGTCTTGGTTACTCGGGCTCGGCGCTGTAGCGCTTCCACGGTGCGGAGTGTTTTTTTCGCCACACGCCAGCATTTTCTTCTTGATTGATTGCGACCTGGAGCCCGGCAAAACCGGGTTCAGAACCAGGTGAACTAGAACCAAGTTTTGGCGAGGATTCCAAAAAGAGGAGTGGCCAAAATCGGGTACACCCGGCCCCAATCCGGCCATTATCATCCATGCGTCACGCGTCTTTGGTAGCGCATACTATGGGGGCTATATTTACAAGGCGTAGGCCATCAACATACAGTGGTTTGGTGAACACGAAGGTTTCCTACCGAGAAACAGAGGGGGACGCGTGCATGTCGCTACTCTTCCAATTCAGGACAAATCGGAGTACATGTAAGAAAAAGACAAAAGAGACCGCTTGCTGCCGTGCCCCACAAACCAACGAACAATCAGGACATGACTTTAATATGCCTGGTTCCATGCTGCAAACCGTGATGACATGTGCAGATGTGTGCTTGTGCAGTACGGCAGCATGTGTCAAGATACGCCATGCGAGCGACGACGCTCGGAACGTGCCGCCAAACTTGACAAAAACACAACTAATCGAAGCGACTATTTACAATATGCATACGTGAAGAAAAGAGTTTTTTCGTCTTGCCACCCCTTGTGCACTGCATGCTTGCATTCGTGTGCATGGGGGACAGAAAAATCAAAATAAACTGATAGCACCAACAGCAGAATATGCGGTTCAGGGTACCCGTCATGGCGGGTGCAAGCGCATGGCGCGTCTAGTTGTCAACGACGCTTTGAACGACACTGCTGTACATGTCTGGTACTGCTGTACACGTATTGACGCCGGGATATCTCATCTGTCAGGGACAAAGACAATTTTGGTTCGTTTTCACATGTAATTCGTAGCGTAGAGGCCGACAAACACGAACGGAAACAGCATGTTTGGTGGGGCGAGAGGAGCACAGCAGTACACAGCACCGACAGAGCAGTAAGGGTGCACATGGCATTGCATGACGCCAGCGTCTACGCGTGTGAACTTCACCCCCCCTTCGCCCCACCACTCTGCTTTGAGGCTGGTTTGATCAGTCTGTACGATGATTCGAACCTACAAGTACAAGAGATTGGACCGTTATCAAAAACAGAGTCAGTCGCAGGGTTGCAAGAGGAACGACGGCCTCTGGAATAAATAACACGCCTGATTGGCAGCAGCAGGTCACACCCGCCAAACTCACATGTCCCGAAGCCCGCGCTAGAGGTGCCGAAGCCCCCTCCTCCCCCTGCACCAAACATTTGTGTGCCGGCGGCAAACGCCTAGCAGTCTTCTCGCCCTCTACCTCGAGTCTTCTTTCCAATGGCTTCGATACCTCGTCTCTCTCGCTTTCTCTCTCTCTTAGTGATATCTAGCTGGCCTTCCAATCTCCACTTCCTTGCCTCTCGCGCCCCTGCTTCTTGGGTAGCGCCGAACGTTTTGCGCGCCCGGCAGATTCTATCACGCGAGGGGCCACACTGGAAGATGAGGGGTTTTGGTGAGGTGTGAACTGGCGGGGGGGGGGGGGGGGGGG